TTCGTAACCTTGTGTCAAAGATAACTTGCTAGACGCCTGATTTCCTCGTTTCGAGATAATTTAAGAACTCCGGAAATATATAGAATATATTGTCGATAAAATTGTAATGATATTCTAAGGTCTTTGAAAAAGACCGACTTCTTAAAATTAAAGAAAGGTTCTCAATTGTCAAGTCGCGTAAACAAAAAAGGAAATTTTAGATCCGTATTTTTAGAAATTAGGAGATTTACGAATAATATATTACTGAAAGCACTAAACTAAATTGATAAAATAAATTGGTAAAATTAAAAATAGCATTTACCTAAAATATCGTAACTTAATTAAGTTGGTTTAATTGAATTAATTAAATTAAAATTAAAATCAAAATATTTATATTAATAAAATTAAATTACTAATCTCCAAACGTATCATTTTCCATAAAATATTTATTTTACAAATTTTTTTAAACGAGACATTATAGACATTTAAATCCATTATTAAAATAAAATTTAATTTAGTAAAACCTTTTTTTTGGACACCTTTAGCAATCATCAGAATATAATAGTGCGATTGTATATATATATTTTAAACATCAGACCGCAATTATCTTAAAATTTATTTAAAAAGTTAAAAAAAATTCTATTTATAAGCAAAAAGAGATATTGCAATGAAATGAGTTTCAAGATTATATATACACGTATATAAGAAATGATGATTTTAAATCCTTTGATTATATCTTGCAATAATCTTTATTTTATTTTTATTTTTCGAGTAAAAATCTCGGATCCTTGGAAATCCTCACAATCTTATTCTTTTCCTATTTCGTTTCATAAATTTTTTATTTTTATAATCTGAGCAAAATATAACATGAACAATCATTCAGATGAACTATTGCTTTTAAGAAACAAAAAAATCAGGCTGCACACATCGACGCTTTTTGCTACTTTAAGTTTACCTGCGTTAAAGAATATGAATATCGTACAAAACAACTAAAATGGCCGCTCATTGATTTATCAAGGAACCTTCTGTTTCAAGCGTATTTTTTTTTCTTTTGGTAGAGTTTTTGTCCAAGTCGTAAATAACGCCAATTCAGAACGAATTTTTCGCAATCCACATACTATTTAAAAGTTTGCCCAACAACGGCTCCTGCACGGATATCTTAAGAACATATAGGAATTATAAACGTTTCGCGTTAAATCTAATTCACACGAATCATATGTTATAAAATCAAAATGCTTGACAAATTTCGTGCAACAGTCGTTTGTGCAATTCTTTTGGATTTTGCAACCGATCGTTCTTTTAGATTAATATCGACATACGTACTCGGTTCCCTCGATCCTGCGCGGTAAACTTCTCTTCTTGATTTTGGAAAAAAGGCAATCGTCTACTTTTTCTTTTATTAAATTACAAATCTTACAAATATTGCCTTTTTGCATGTTCATACGAGTTGATTTTTTCGCTTTATAAATATACGCGGGACAAGAATCTTGCAAATATCGCCGAATTCTAGAATTTAAAAACGATTCCTCTTCTCTAACACGAGAACACGAGAAGATGGAAGATCTTGAACGTAAGTCAACCTCGATTTCCGCCTCGCCTCGCTTCGTCACGAAACGGCCGCCAGGAGGATATTTCCATTTTGTCTGGCTAGGAGATCGATGGCGATCGCCTCTCGAGTACAATTCCAAAGAGGTATTTTGGTCGAGAAACGCGCGGATATTCCAACTTCCGCGAACTCACTCGAGGCGCTTTGACTGTGGGCAGGTGGGGGAGTGACATAAATATCGCCTTACCGAAACGAAACACGTTATCTCGTGGAAAGTTCCCTGCTGGAAGATCAAGAGAGTAAACTCCTTAAGTCCTTTCCAGGTGTTCCCAACTTCGTGGACTTTAGTACCGTGTGACGCGCGTAAAATTTTTTTTTGCTCGAAAAACGTGAGAGAAACTGACCAGATCCTCGTGTAAAATTAAAGCACGTAAAATGTAATAATTTTTCCTCGGTGTATAAAATGTTGTTCGCCAATTGAGAAGAGCCCGTTTCTATAAAGTAACGCGCGCGCATGCACACGCTAATTATAATTAACCGCAATGAAATATCTACCCCAATTTCTCTCTTTATTTCTACATTGCAATATACATGTGTATAATATAGTTTGACGAAGCTTGGTCACAATAATAAACAGATTTATTATTATTATTATTCTTTCCTGTTTCTCTCTCTTTATGCTTTAGATGAATTTAAAGAAATGCGTATCTTGCAAATTTTCGAGGGAACTGAAAGGTCTAAATATCAATGAGCGGCTCATTGTTGAATAATAATGACCGTGTTTTCATCGCGCATTTAACGCTAAAGTTTTTTTTTCGCATTGCATTGACAGAAAGATGACAAATGTCGTAGCGATTCTATCATTTTTTGATATTACAATAAATTTGATCGCGAATGTGTTTCGATTATGCCATAATATAATATCACGCGATCTCGAAGATGATTATATGATTGATAGCTATGTTTACATCAAATGCATACAACGTGATATCTCGATGAGAGAGCTGGATATTGGAAATAGATGATCACGTTAACGTTATATGTACGGTGAAAACATAGGCCTTATTATGATAGCTTCTACTCTGGTAACGAGTACGTTACACGCTTCGCCTAAATGTCTCGATCGTGCGCGAGATCAGAATTATCGCGATGTTTAAACGACAAAGAGAAATTTCAAGATTTTTTAATGCAAAATGTTTTAACGTGTATATAAGAATAATTAAAATTTGTTAAAAATTTATTTAGCCGAATAACACGATGAATATATGAATATTGACTAAATAAAATGTCAATATGTTTGTGTATTTATGTGTGAAGCTTATAAATTATAAAATATCTCATCTCGATATCGTTACATCAATTTACGAATAATATATTACTGAAAGCACTAAACTAAATTGATAAAATAAATTGGTAAAATTAAAAATAGCATTTACCTAAAATATCGTAACTTAATTAAGTTGGTTTAATTGAATTAATTAAATTAAAATTAAAATCAAAATATTTATATTAATAAAATTAAATTACTAATCTCCAAACGTATCATTTTCCATAAAATATTTATTTTACAAATTTTTTTAAACGAGACATTATAGACATTTAAATCCATTATTAAAATAAAATTTAATTTAGTAAAACCTTTTTTTTTTGGACACCTTTAGCAATCATCAGAATATAATAGTGCGATTGTATATTATTTCCCAAAATTCAGATTATTATCAAATTGCGTTTAAAAGCCGAAATACATTAAATTATCTCATAAAGTCGTTTAAACAATCACGCCTATCTGGTTTCCTTGTTGCTTGTTACAATAACCACGATTCGATATCCGACACAGGATCAGTGAATATTTATCGATAATCCGCCAAGTCAGTTCTTTTGCGATTAGTCTTATATATATATATACTCTTATGATTAGGTAAATAGTTAATTATATAATTAGTTACTTAGGCGTGTGATTAGTGGCGTGGGTGTTCCTCCTCACCCCTCCGCCTCTCTGTCCTTGTTGCGTGTCGTACTTTCTTCAATATATCGTCTCGTGGATGGCTTCGTATCGATTATCGTTGGGGAAAAAAAAGGAGAAAAGGGACTGTCGCCCGATTTTTAAGGATCGTCTCGAGTCGATTTATCGTAATCGAGCTTCTCTTGAAGATTCTATATGGACTCTCGAACTTATACACATATAGTCTTCTTTGCATCTTATTACTTGTATCTCTCTAACGATTCCAGTCCTGGAATCCTTAGAGCCAAGTCCGAGAATTCTAGGATGTGCGCAATTTGAATCTTTGCATCTTTGATAAAAAGAATTAGGCCGTTAAGATGTTTTTTAAAATTTTTTTAAATCTTAGGTATTGAGAGAATATTTTTAATTTCAAAGAGAGTAAGATATTATTGTAAATGTTTTACTTGTTATTGAAAATTCTTGATATGTTAAATATTTAAACATGCAATAAAATTTGGAATGGTAAGTTCTAAATTCTTGAGAAAAGTTAAAAATTGTCATTTTTTAAATTTTTGAAAACTGTTTTTAAAAATGTCTCAGATTTCAAGGTTTCAGACTCGTAAATATTTATCTAAAACCTCAAATATTTGATTCTTAGAATGTTCAATTTTCAGATACTGTATTAAATAAATGGAGATTTTAATTCAAGGAACATTTATATATATTGGAACTTTGTTAGATTGACTCTTATAAAAATCTTGCAATTTTAGAATCCTCGGACTGTTATTTTCTCTAAATTCTCTGTCCTAATATCAGTCATTCCCAAATTGTTTCGCCGTTACTCATCTTTATTTCAAATCTATCTCTTCCTCACGTTTTAAAGCCGCGAAACGGAACCGTACGCGACGCGACGGGCAAGGATATTCCTTGCATTTCTTACACGTGCCTCATCAAACCTCGTTAATATCGAATCCTCGAAGAGAGAGAAAGCCCTTTTCTCTTTCGCGCCGTGATTCATTTTGGTTCAATGAAGAAAGACGCTGGTAATAGACCTGGTAGTGTGAGGGGGTAGATCGGGGGCCTCTGTGAGGGCCCCCTCGTGCCCCTATGCGCTCAGACCGAGCCGGTGAATCTTCGCCGAAAGAAAGTTGTGCAGGACGAACACGATCGGTTTCGGACAGCTCTCCAAGTCGAGCTCCTATAATAGGATCAATCGTCATTTCTTTACTTACTGATGACGAAAAACTGACGATTATAAGCTTTCTAAGTATCTATAAGTTCAGAAAGTAAGGACACACTTTTACGACAAATAAGAGCAATTATAATCGTTTTTATTCACCAATGAAAAAAATTGATAAACCACGCGACAATTCTATTTTTAAAGCGATTTTATATTAAATATCGTAGGGAATATAATGGAAAAATTACAACAAATATCTTTTTTTATTCACAAACTTGTTTGTAAATTTACGACATTAATATTCCTCGGAAAACGTCTTTTAATCTCTTTCTGATCTCGATATTCTCGAATTCGTATGTCTATCGAGTACTCACAATTTCGCCATCCTCGCCCCCAAAATCAAGCCACAGGAGACGGGCGCCGTCGTCCGCGGACATTTTCAATTTGTCGAAGGATCTTCTCCAGAGCGGCGCGGGCGGTGATCCAGGACTTACGCCGTTACCGGCAGTGTTCCGCGTTCCAGCGGCATAAAGCGCGAATCCTTCCTCATGGTTGACAACTAACTGACAGGCTTTACGTTGCCATGTGCAACCTATAACACATGCAAGATTATAAAATTAAATTAATCTTCGAAAAAGAATGAAAATTTATTCACAGCTTAACGCATCCCATGAATTCGAATCAATCCGATATAATTCAAAAACATTTTCATATTATTTTTATATTACGTTTCGATGCAAATCTGTACATATATATTTTCTGTTAATTTTTATTTTATAAAATGTTGCATTATCTCTATTATAAATAATAAATAAAATAATGGAACAATTTATATTTATAAAAACACATTAAATAAATCGATTTAAAAAAAAATATAAATCTCTTAATAGATTATCAATTTATTTTTTCTTAACAAAATTTTGATTGAATACATTATAAAATAGAGCTAAAAATTGCATATAAATACAATTATAATTGCATATAAATCAGAAATAAATACAAATCAATGTGAAAAAAAATACTCCCTCCGCCTTTTGCAAACTGTATAAGCAGTCGAGAGTAAAAAATAGGTGGATAAACTTATTTAAATGATCACAGTTGCCATCGCGTATAATTATCAACCAAACATTACATTTTCAACTGAATTTCTTGCAGCTATTACTATTTATCTTGATGAGACAGCCTGTATATATTTTTCATTTCCCATCGCGCGTTTCTACCGCATTCTTTATCATCGATGAGTTCGACGCGAGACACAAACAAAAAGACGCGTATGAAACGGGCGAGGCATTCATCTCAATTTATTATTGCCGTTCGTCGTTGCTGAAAAGAAATTAAAATTCATCGGACCGAGCGCAGAGAACGACGAGAGTATAGATGTCGAGTATAGATATCATCCGCCGTTGTACGCGCTGCTTTGGTAAAAGAAAAAGAAAAAAGAAAAAAACTCGGCCTCGCCATTTCTTGAAGTATTTCTCATTCTAGGCATTTCTCCCCCTCAGATGCACAATTTCAAATCTCCATTTACCAATTCTACTCTTCCAATTTTTCGAGATTGTCGCGTTATTGATTTCACATCCATTATTTCGAACACGCGAATTTCGAGAAGCCCAGAGATTCTTGCTGGTTAAAAAGCCCAGTCCTTTTTATAGAATATTTACAGAGTGAATATATATATATCTACATAAATATAATATAGGTGACATGCGAGATTACTTACGAACGGTGTACTCCCGCAAGGAGTGAGCGGCCGCGTGACAACCCTGAACGATCGCTCGGGCCCAGGCCGCCAGATCTCTTCGTGTTTCAGCTCGTAAATGATGCGTGATCACCCCGTCGATCGTGCCAACCCGAACCGCGAACGTCGCCCCGTGTTGAATCGAACCGCTACTGCTGCTCGCCGCTTCGTTCTGTCGCGTCGGGGAGGAAACCAGTCTGAAACCATTCAATTCGAGTTCGTTCTTGAAGACGTACATTATTGATCTCTATCGGTTACACAATTCGCATTATCGTCATTTCAAATCGAACGCGACGGTTCTCGCTCCTCCCGCGCATTAAATCGATAGTTTTCCGAAGGAAAATTGAAAATTCCACGAAGGGAGAGAGAGAGATTCTATCGCGAAAATCGCAACGCGCGGCTCTTCTGGAGTTTCGTGCCTGGGTAAAAAGCGGCGACTTTTATCGAAACGATCGAACCGCCTTGTAGCGAGTCACGGTATGGATTCATTCCCGTCGTCTCTTCATCCCTCTCTCCCGGCGGGTAGGTAGGTAAATTACCTCGTCATCCGGCTCGCCCCGCTCGTAAAATCGTCGCGGCTTTATTGCATGTGGGACGAAGCTGCAGCGTTCACCTGACACGGGTTCGGAACGCGTATCTCCCCAACCCCCTCTTTCGCCCCCCTCGATCTCCACGAATCCCATTCCCCTCTCCCACCCCAATCTGCCCGCTGACGAATGGTCCTGACGTTCGCGAGCCCGCGCGTTAGATTTATAGATTTTTCCGAGGGACACTGGCGAGCCCTCCAACCCCTCCTCTCTCTCTCTCTCTCTCTCTCTGTCTCTCTTTCTCCTCTCTTCCCCTCCTCTTTTTCTCGCCGAAAAAAAAGAGGAACAAAGAGCGATAGAAAGAACATTCCCCGTGCAATGGAGGACACAAAGAGGATGGAAAAAATGGCACACTTGGACTGGAAAAAATGCATACTCCCGGCATCATTCGACGTGCCTAATAGTCACCCTTTGTCCCTTCCTCCCCTTTCCTGAAACTTGTCTCGCGTCGATGTTAATAGTTGCCCATCGTATGGAGATGCAATGAACAAGACAGAGCATTTTCAACGTATTTACGAATGATCACTTTTGTATCATGTATCACATGTATTAATAATTGTAAAAGTTTTTATCTCTACACATTCTTAAAACTACGTTACTTAAAGCAATTGAAGGAGTTGGAAGAAATGTAAATCTGTCAAAGATATCTATTTGAAGAATGGACAAATGTGATATTCGAAATATTTAATTGTAAAAACATATATACATCTACTTTTCGTCCTTAGATTTTGCGGTTCTTTCATTCTTTTTATATTTATAGAAAATAATTCGTCCTTACATATTATTCGATCAAAATAGATCTTAAGATTGTGAAAAAAATTCTGATCGTTACATCGTTAATGTTCGAAATAATTCGATTTCACTCGACATAATGGATATTCATTGATCATTATCGCTAACGCGTATCACGAAGACGGTGAAGAAAAAAATAAAGCAGTGGAAGCGCGACGAAAGAAAATTCCGATAAGCGGGAGGAAGCTGGCGAGACAGCCGCAAACGGTAAATAAAAGCGTTAAACGAGAATGGATGCTCGTCGGCGGCCGTAATCCGACGAAAAAGCCCGCAGGAAGGAAAGAAAGTTTCCCTCGGGATAGCCGAATCACTTCCGGTTTGTCTCGCAGTAAAACTTCTTTAAGTCGGCCATTTCGCGCTCTCGCGTCGGGCCTGATACGGGCCCTTTCGACCGGAAGTAGAGCCTTCTGACGTTCCTGTTTCGCTTCTTTTACACGTCCTTCAGCTTCTTCGTCTTATGCCGTTTGAGGAAAAACTTTGAGGAAACAATGTCTGAATGTTTGGCGAAAAAAAAAATGATTAATAGCGACAATATAAAATTCGAGGAAAATTTCCTTTCGATGAAATATTGGTAAATCTCTCCGTTTATAAAAGTATCTTAATAATCTTTGGATATTAAAAAATTTTATGAATTGTAAGACCTAAAATATGTGTAAAGTTACATAATTAAACTTCCTGTAAGAAATTTTGCGACCAGATTAAATAAAAGTTGTAAAATAAGAGTACAAGAAAGTAAATAGCTAGACATCGTATCAAAATCAAGTTTGCCAAGCAATGAAAATATCTACTAATGTGAATTATATCATATTGACCTATATGATAATACCAGCAAATTTGTTTCTATTGTGATTAACTTAGTACTATCTGTATCGACTGCACAAACGTACTAATCAAATTTAATTACTAACTTGAGTTGCATTGTTTCATACTATTGGCTAAATGTACAAGAATAACAAATAAATATGTCTTAAATCGAATAAATAAACAATAATATGATACAAGATTTTAAAAAAACATTTTTAATTCTTCCATATATTCTTCCAATGTTTTATTACATAAAAATTAGCCACTTTAAAGAATTTTTAAAGTGGCTTTTTTAAAGAGTTAGCAAGTTTGTTTAGAAAAAAGAAAAGATATAAAAATATATTTTAAAATATATACACACACAAAGAATATCGATTCCTCAACAATGAAATAAACAGTATTTTTGTTCTCTTTTCTGGGATTTTTGTTTACGAGAAAATGATACTCGGAATGTCCTATATACATCCTGTATATAACGGACACGATAGAGAAACAGAGACGCGGGCTCGTAAGCTGCCACGGAACGAACGATCGATGCCTGTGTCCCGGGCTTTCGGGCCTTTTTCACTTAAAATTTAAACGAAGCTTAGCTGGATCACCGATCATTCAAACAGCGTGACTGCCTGACACCGCATTTAAGCCGCTCGAAAACGCCAGGCACTCGTAGTTAAAAAAAATGAACCTGACATTAATTCGCAACAATGACGCGTGGGGAAAAGTTTAACGGGATATAAAATAATGCTACGGGACCTTTCCGGCATGCTCAATACACATAATATTTGCTCTTCATAATATTTGCATTTTATTTTTCAACATATTTACAAAGAGAACTTTTGCATCATACATTAAACGGTAATAATTTTTACATATACGCGTAACGTTACGATATAAATTTTACATTTATTACAATTCTAAACATACAATAAAAAATGAATATTTTGCATATTGTTTGAATTCAAAGATAATTTTTTTTCGCCCTGTTTTCTGCAATTTCAAAATTTTCAATATTGTTTCGATAACTATGGATTAAAATTTTGAATGACTTGTACTCCGTTCGAAGGCAATTGAAAAATGAGATCTTTTTATCTTTATCCCAGTTTAATTATGTTAGAATTATGTCAGTTAAAACTTGTGCAAAAAATCAAATCAGGTCTTACCAAAAAGAATATATACCTAGGCTTTGATACAATCTTTATGAAACACTATACACATATAAAGGATATAATCAAAGAGGGATAGAAAAAGAAATATTTAAAAGAAAAGATCTGAAAAAGTAGGAGAAAAATATTGGAAACAGAAAGTAAATGTTAGAATTTAAAACCTCGGCTCTTCTCTCATTCGCAAAAGTTAAAGTTTAAATATAGTATTTTATGCATGATGTTGCTTTTTTTTAAGAATCTTCTTTTATTTTTTAAATTATGTTTTTATATTCATATATTAATTAATTTTCTAAATCAATAATTTCGATTGTATTTACGCATTATTCAATTTGTTTATTAATTCTAATATTAATTTATAAATTTTAAATCGTGAAACCGAACTATATAATATTTGCAAATTGTTGAATTTATTATACACATATGCGCAAACATAGACACACACATATACTTTAATATTTATTATTCTAATCAAAATTAACTCACTACATCCTAAAGAATGTATTTTCGCAATGTAATACATGTAAAAGCGTGCAATCAAAATGTCATTCAAATATCATTCTCGAAAATAATAACGATCGGCGACAGAAATAGCATAGGATATTAAATCACGGAGAATCCGATTAAAATCCGAGATCTCGTCATAACGAGTTTCGACTTTTGGCACGATTCTGTTGACACTCGCACTCAGTCGCAACAACTATATTTGTCGATTACCGTCATCGAGAAATTTACTGTTAGCAATCCCTGCAATGACAGCCATTCAACATATTGATACAAACTCGAGAGAAATGTATGCAGTTTTCTTCATTTTTCAAAAATAATAATATTAACCCTGAGTTTAACAAATAAAATTATTTACGTACTATTAACATTATTTGAACAATGTCGATTTTTCACAGAGTTATCGCCGTCCATAAAATCGAGTGCGCATGAATTGAGGAAAAGAAATAGATCGCGCGCGCGCTACTCTACTACACGCGTGACAGCGCGCGTACGCACAGCTGATTCATTCAAGTGAATCTACTGGTGCGCGAGTCACGCGAGTCGCGCGAGGTAACGCAAGTGCAGTTGACAAGCTCAGTCACATGGATCGCGTGACTTGTCGCCGCGAGCGGACTCGGTCGTGGCGCGCTCGTTGGTAAAAGAAACATATCGCGAGCGGACTTTTTTCTTAAAAATTAAGTCGAGATTGATATAGTCAAAATGGGAACATATATGTACATGTAAAAATCTTAAAATCTTAATTTTATTTATCAATAGATCTAATAAAATTAATAAAATGTGTCAATTTTATGTTCTTTTAAACTTTTATTTGTTACATACAAGTTTAAATGCTTTTTTGTGTACTTTAAAAGGCGGTTTATCTTAGAGAAAATTTGTTTTTATTGATTAATTAATATTATTCTCGCACAAAACACATGTAAACGACCGAAAAGCCAATTCTCGTCGACATTTCTTTGCTGGCATCTCGCATTTGTATGAAATGATTTACGCTGACAATTTATTCGCGATGGAAATAGAAATCGATATAAGAAGCAGTCTTACATGACTCGAACGAGACCAATCGGGGAATAAGAAGGAATGAGAAGAGGTGAAGGGAAAGACGTTAGGAGAGGATGCGCCACGGGCAAAATCCTGAACTCGTCCCGAATATCGTACTTCGATTGCACGTGCGATCGGAAACTGTCGACGACACCTTCGATAATTAATGTCTACCCCGGAGGATTTAATTGATCCAGTTCGCCGTTCGATTATCGAGATCTCATCTTTCATATCCCATTCCTCTTCTTCTTCCACCGTTTCCGCCTATCCCCTTTTTCAGTCGCTCTTATCTAGCCCTTATCCACTTAGTTT